TGTTTTGCTAGACTTGAAGTTACATTTTTTAAGTTTTAAGCGCCAGTGGCCATAATGACAATTAGACCTATGCAATTACATTGTAATTACCAAGTTGAATTTTTTCATATTTTTCATTTGAATGATGAGAAAGTTCCAATTCAAAGCAGGGAAAGTCACATTTTAGTAATATTAACTGAAATATTAACTAAAATACAGCAATACAGGTGTGTTGTATTAAACACATACCATACGTTTTACATTGCTTAATTACTGTTTATGCTTTTACAGCTTCCAAAAATTATTTTGAAAGAATAATCTGAAATTTTGCATGTAAGTCATAAATATATTCCTACTCTGACCTTTTGTTTTGAATAACAATAGATTTAACCACAAACATTAACAAGTGGTCTTTTGTTAATCACATAATTAGAATTACACAAGTCAGGGATTTATGCATAATACATGTAGTTCAAACCTATATTGAACTGCACAAAAATCTTGTTTTGACCTTTGGTCATGAACTTTAATAGGGTCAACTGTAGAAAACATTGACATTTATAGCCGTGCAGTATTGGTGTGCTGCAGTATTGCTACTAGCAGGCCACTTTAGTATAAAACCACATACAATTCTGAGTATTGTTCTAAGAAAAAGCTTAATCACAAAAATACAAAATGTAGGAACTTGGGAATATGACATGCTACTTGGATTAAAACCCATACAATGTATCTCAGACAATTATTGATATTGGATAAATTCTGTGTTTTTCATTAACATCTATACACCAAACATTACATTTACCAGTAATGTATCAGTCCATGAGAAATCATAATATAGGATGAAATTCACACTAGATTTTAAACTGAAAAACCACAATAACTATGTGTTCAAAACCTCAAGTAATTTCAAGTTTAAGTTCAGGAAATAAAATACATTTAAAAACAGAGTACAAATACTTGGTTTCAATTATAATGAATTACCTTTTTTATTTTTCTAAACCCATTATTTCAAGTGTTAAACATTAAAGTTTCAAGGCCAAATAGACCCCCAAATTTATAAAATGGATTTGTCCTGCTTTGAATTTAGAATAGTCTATTGTGATTTTAAGGAATTTCAATATCAAAATACTAAGCATACTACAGTAAAGAGCTTGGTCAGACTACTCTACAGTAAAGAGCTGAACTATATTTTCCAGTATATAGTTTAAGATACTAAAGCAGTGGAAATACATGTACTTCAAGTCTGATATCTACACAGTGGCTTCGTAAAGGATAATAAGGACATCCTATGAACAACAAAACATCTTCCAATCCCAGGAATACAATTTAAAAGTTCTATCCCATGTATTATCAGTGCCTACGCTCAATCGCATGTTCGATTAGATACATTATCAAATATTTATTACTTGTTGAAACAATGTTTATTCAAATTTCAGTAAGGATGGACAAATCTAAACATGTTTTTATTCATTTTTGTCCAATCCTTTTATATTATGATATATGTTTATTGCTCTATCATTACCATGTATAAAAGCAACAGGATGTTTGTTCACACTTAAAGGGACTCCACTGAGGTTTAAAAGCCTAAAAACGTAACATTTGAATTTCTTACATAAATAACCTGGGGCACTTTAAACAGAAGTATATGGAAAGATATTTAAGAAATATACTTTGAAATAATTGAAAATCATATTTGATGCTTTTCTTAGCCCGATTTGAGTGATTTTGGGTCATTTTTTACAATTTGAATAATTATTCTGAAATGTTGCACAAAGATTAGTGGTTTAAACCTACATCAAATGGTACATTTATCTGGAAAAAAATATTTTCAGCCCTGTCATGTTAAAAAACCTCAGTGGAGTCCCTTTAAGCTTTTGTTTTCCATTTTAGGTTTAAGATCATCAAACACTCTCTGCTGACTGAACATGGTCTGCTATTCAATAAGTACATGTACATATTTTAAGAATTGTCTCTGTAAATGATGAATGGTTTTGTCCAGATAAGAAAAATAGACAAGTCCATTTGATAACTTTAGGGTAGTATGGTTTAAAACATTGAGAACTAAATCATATAAAGCGTACATTTAAAATTTTCAGATTCTCGTAACAAAAAAATATATACTTCATAACAACTCTTGCAAACTTATAACAAATACACAGAAACTTTTTATTCAACGCACATGTTTACAGCCAAGCTATAATTATGTAACAATATAAAAATCATTCTGTAATGAAAATATTGCAATCTCACCAAGTTATATAATGGACTACATTTATGTACATGATAAATAAACAATTCACAAATACTGTACCCCACCCATCTGAAAATATTTGCAACCTTATCCCCACTATCAAATATGTGTTCAACCAAATAAAACATGTATTGAATATGTTGAACACAAATATCAGTTTTATAAAAGCTAATAATTTCTACATAGCTTTGCCAAAGGTTGCCAAATTGTAAGGAAAGAAAATGTTTGGCATCAGGAGCCATGACCCCACTGACTTCAAACTTTGACAAACTGTTACATCTCTGCAAGATTTACATTGTTTAGTTTCTGTTTGTTTGTTTTACTTTGTATGGTTAATATATATGGCAGGATCTTATATATACATTTTGAGTTTTAGTTTTACTAACATACCAGATATACATGTATAGTATATTGCTTACATAGCAATATAATGTTACAAAACAAGGTAAATTTAAACTGAATAAAAAGCGCCAATTTCTCGATAAACATATTTTAGTATCAGAACAAAAACTGTGAGTGGCTCACAATATAAAGACTAAGATGAACCCCAGTATCTGGGTACCTTTGAGAGGTTTAATTGGACTGTTGAGTCCAAAATAGGTAGCCGCCCATGCCCTAATACAGACTGGACATTACAGCAAGCTTGGACTGGCTCATATCCCTTTATAACCTGCTGAATTAGTTTGCCCTGCTTTGAATTTGAAACAGCTAATTTGTTTAATGGATTTGCCCTGCTTTGAATTTGAAACAGCTAATTTGTTTAATGGATTTGCCCTGCTTTGAATTTGAAACATTTTATTTGTTTAATGGATTTGCTTTGCTTTCAATTGGAAACCGTTAATTAGTCTAATGGATTTGCCCTGCTTTGAATTTGAAACAGTTTATTTGAAAAGTAAAGGGATTTCTTAATCAAAATTCAAAAATTGAGCTACCATCAGTAAAGAGCCTGATTAGATGGACCTTGCTCTATATCTGTGACAGAGGCTTGTCATTCTTGATTCTAGCAGGTTAAGGGTTAACTCTATTTACCTTGGTAAGTAATTATCATGGCAAAAATTCAGAGTCTGGTAAGTAATTATCAGGGCAAAAATTCAGAGTCTGGTAAGTAATTATCAGGGCAAAAATTCAGAGTCTTGGTAAGTAATTATCAGGGCAAAAATTCAGAGTCTTGGTAAGTAATTATCAGGGCAAAAATTCAGAGTCTTGATAAGTAATTATCAGGGCAAAAATTCAGTCTTGGTAAGTAATTATCAGGGCAAAAATTCAGAGTCTTAGTAAGTAATTATCAGGGCAAAAATTCAGAGTCTTGGTAAGTAATTATCAGGGCAAAAATTCAGAGTCTTGGTAAGTAATTATCAGGGCAAAAATTCAGAGTCTTGGTAAGTAATTATCAGGGCAAAAATTCAGAGTCTTGGTAAGTAATTATCAGGGCAAAAATTCAGATTCTCATTATATGTACAAGTAATTTTCATATCTCGTATAAATCAAAACTTTGTGAATTTTCATCAAATTTTTAATTAAAAAAAAATATATAAATAACATACATAATTAGAAGGTAAACAACTATTTTCTTTTCTGATTGCAAATATTCCCAGATAGGAGGTATAATTTTACTCATTATAATACAATGTTGGATAAAAAATATCAGTACAATTTTGGATATGCTTCTGTATTTTTACAGTAAAAGTTTTGTTTCTTTTATTACCATTAATTGACATCAAACAATTACAACTATTAATTAACATTGTCTCAAACATGCCTATAATAAGTGTATTCTTACAGAATATTAAAAGAACATTTATTATATGTACATCATAATCAATAATATTTAAAATATTAAGTTTAATATTTTCATAACTTTTATCCAAAAATAAAGATTAATATATATTCACAATTATTTAAAATTCTGCAAAAATGATAATAATGATTCTTAGACAATTTTCGGTTGGTTTGAGAAAATGTGTCATATACCTCACATAGCAGAAATTTTTTGTAAGAATTTCGAGAGCATGTAACCACCAGTGAAAATAATTAAAAACAACTCTTCTAAATGAGATGCCTTTTATATTCACTCAAAACAAACAAATTTGTTCTTCATCATATGTATTGTATTGACAGTATTCTATATATTTAGCATGTAAACTATATTGACATTAGCAAAAACATGGCACCAAACAATCTTGATGTCAAAAAAATCTCCATCTGTGTGTTCTTATTTATTATGTCTTTCAATAACAAATAAGGAACCATATTCATAAACGTATTTCAATTAAAATCATATACATGTTGTCTGATATGACTAATATGAGACTCATTGATTTGTTTTAACATCTCATTAAAAAGCAAAACACGAAATTCCAGTTTTGAAGAAAAATTTCCAGCAAAATTAAATGAAAAGGTCTCCATGTCAAAGATACATGTACAGATTACAATATTAAAATTATATATGGTCTTTTTTTGTCTAAGTTTCATACACAGATTTCTATATTTGGTGTTGTGATTTCTTTATAAAAAAATAAACAATATATGAGCTTTGTCACAACAAAACCAACAGAATGGGTGTGCGACCAGCATGGATCCAGACCAGCCTGCGCATACGCGCAGTCTGATCAGAATCCATGCTGTTCGCTTACAAACTCTATAACAAGTAGAGAAACGATAGCCAACAGCATGGATCCTGATCAGACTGCGCGGATGTGAAGGCTGGTCTGCATCATGCTTTTTTGTCAGCAACCCAGTAATGTTGGTTATTTGTTGTGAACGCGGACTCATATTTATAATAATAAAACCAAAAGCTTCCTATGATTTTTTGACAAAGTCCATCACATGGGTGTAGGCAGTGAAGTGATAATGGCAACAGTATCCAGATAATCCCGTACCTTTATTTTCTTAAAATCTTTTTTAGTTTTTATCACCAAAGAATAATCTTTACAACTTCATAAAGATAATAACTGAAAAACTGAAAAATACTCATGATTTTCTTACCAGGAGTACTATGTTATAGAAAAAATGGTGTCAAAACTGAACTCCAAAAACCAGTCTTAAGCCTGTCCATTTGACTGGCTGATTTTGAAGTTCAAGTAGACCAATCACAGAGCTGCATTTAAGACTGGTACCCAAACTCAAACTTGTTCCAAGAAAAACAGTTTTGTGTCCCTGTTAAGCAAAGTAAACACTTATAATTTAACTGGTATTTTCAATTTGAGAGAAATTATATGCAGAATTTTTGCAAATTATTATAGCACCATTTCAATTATAATGACAACTTTCCTTAAATTGGCTGGTCCCACGCTATTATGCAATGAACTCTGTTTTATTGACCATTTCACAAAAGTTCCTATCCCTTTGGAAATTAAGAACTTCTGCTAATTCGAGAGACATGACTTGAACAGCTTATATAAAAAGTTCAATGATCTTTTCCATCCTATAATCATATGAAACACAATGAGCATCTGAGGCCCTAAAAATGTTTCAACATAATAAAATGTGACCTTGTCTGCCAAGAAAACATACAAATTTTCAAATATCTCATATCAAATAAAACTTTTAAACAATACCATTGTTTGAATCATCATCCTTTGAAAACAATCAATTCAAATGTTTAGATTGTTTAACCAACAAATTTCTAGTTATCTTTTAAAAAAATGGCACATCAATTGTAGGTATCAGCCCACGAAAGTCATGAATTAGACTTGAAAATCTTTTAAATTTGAGCAACTATAAGTATAAAGACTGCACAGACTTACTAAATTTTCAGTAAGTACAATGTACATATTTTGAAAAAATTCCCCTAAAATGAAGTATCTAGTCCAGATTGAAAGATTTTGACATCAATTTAAGATATTTATAGAACGTCCATTTAAGATATTTAGAACGTCCATTTAAGATATTTAGAACGTCCATTTAAGATATTTAGCATGGAAAACGTCAATTGTAAGGAGGCATGCAACTTTTACATGATTGTGAGTTAAAGAGTCTGTCCTGTATACATGTACATATGTTACAGTAATGAATGATGTACAAGTGTAATATCACCATGACGATAATAATATGAGCCGCGTCATGACAAAACCAACATAATGGGTTTGTGACCAGCATGGATCCAGACTAGCCTGGGCATCAGCACAGTCTGATCAGGATCCATGCTGTTTGCTATAAGTTTCTCTACTTGTTATAGAGTTTGTAAGCGAACAGCATGGATCATGATCAGACTGCATGGATGCGCAGGCTGGTCTGGATCCATGCTGGTAGCAAACCCATTATGTTGGTTTTGTCATGTTGCGGCTCATATGGTTGACAAGTTAACCTAACCGCATTGCAGTCAAGCTGTTATTACTACTAAAACAAGCTATCACAGTGCCTGACAATCATAAATGACTTGTAAAAAAACACTACAGCATCTTTGTTCATAATCTACAATGTTTGAGAAGATACCAATTATCGTATTAACAAAACAGCTTCTACAACTAAAAATAATCTATAATGGGATAACTTGATTGCTTTGTAACTATTGGTGCACCAAAGCTGACACTATAATGATAACCATATGCTATTAAAAGGTTAAAATAGCAGAAAGTATCATTATTACATATACAAGTAATTCAATAACATAGTGAAAAGTCTTTAAAAGATCTCATTTGAAAAAAAAACAACTCTCTATTAAGGCTTGGTTAATTTGTTCTAACACACTCAAAACTTGTGACTTTGAAAGTCACGCAAAAAAGCACTCCCTTTCCTTTTTTAAACACTCTGAATCTATCTCCATCAATCCACCATTGTCATAATTCAGAACCACCCACAGGCATACGCTACTCAGTAATGCAGTTCCAGCTGTCAATATTGAAGCGTATCCAGTAAATCCAGCTATCCAATACACACAGTTGTGAATGCTGTACAAGTATTTTATATAAAGAATAAATAGAACCTTGCATACAATGGTTTATTTTAGAATGACTATGTATGCAAGATATTTCTTTGTCTAAGAAGGTAAAACATCACAGCTATTTAAAGTTGTTTATTGTCATCAAAGTATAACACAGCATTTACAGTACCTCTGTCTGCCCCCGCCCACTGATGCAGGCGGAGTTACTGGGGCAAAGTAGGCGTGAACTTTGATGTTTGGTAGTCTGGTCTGAAAAGACAGAAAAATATTAAAAATAACAAAACCTGTCAGTATTATTCTCTATATATAGTATATACTATAGTATAGTATTATTCTCAGGGCTAAATAGTAAAAAAACAGTAGGAAGTAAAAATTTACAAGTTTTTATAGGTGTTGATCAATACCCTCACACCAAGCATGACATTGAAACTAAATACATACAGCTGTGAGAACTTGCACATAAACTTGGATTTTTTTAATCACAGGGAGAAAACTGCAGCATTACAAAGCAACAAAAGTTCAATCCCTTTAGTCAAAGCTTTGCTGTTTTGACAATTGTTTTTATCAAAGTGGTATTTTTTTGTTTTTAATCTAAGGAAAACAACTACTGGGACTTTGGTATTTTATTATCTATCTTTTAATCCAAGGGAGAGAACTGTGGGTACCAACCTTTAATCTTCGTATTCCCTGTCTGGTTATAAGCTGACAATCGTAGAGTTCTATACGTTCTAGACTCTGACAGCCCATCAAGTGTTCTAGTGAGGCATCGGTGATTAACGGACAATTATCCAGTTCTAACACTTGTAATTGTTCAGTGGCACACGGGCTCGAGCCTAAATGTCTTATACCTTCATCCGTAATTAATTCACAGTGGGACAAACTCTGCAATGATTATGATAATTTTTACACTTAATTATACTTACACTTAATTATACATATTAAACCTATCTAAATGACAAAAATGAAAACGTGACCCTTTCTTCCCTGAAAACTATAGCATGAAAATAGTTTATATAATAAATTTCTATATAAAACAAGGGAAATTTAAGATAAATTTAGGAAATTTAATTGTTCTCAAATTACTCTCATTATACAGATGTTACTTTGAAAATCTTTTCTAAAATATAACCATTAAAAATTGTTACTTTTTTCTTATTTCCATAAAAAGTTTATCTTTCCATAAAAAAAGGTACTAAATTATTATCATCATTAGTTGGTTTTTTTAAGAGCCATGGCAAAAACACCATAGAACTTTTGTTTTGATTCGGTTATATGTTGCACTATTTCAGGCATCAATGGACACCTGAGTAGAACTACTGACATTCTGTAAGCTAGCTGGATTGCTTCCTCACATGAAAGTATCCAAACTCTCTGCCAGGATTTGAACCCACAGTGGTGAAGGGCCAGTGTTTTGAAGTCAATGACCTTAACCATTTGGCCACAGTCACCTCCATAAAAGAGGTAAAATAAAGTGAAACAACGATATATAAAATGTGAACTAAATTGACCATAAACCTTACTGTCTTGATGGGACAAGGACGAAGACAAAACAATATTGATTTTTGTCAGGCTTTTGCCCTTTCACTGCATACATTGCCCTAAATCAGTTGTCTAAATATACATATTTGAACTTACAAGTGCTGTTAGTCTGTGACAATAACTTCCCAGATAATTTAATGTTGAATCAGTAATCTGTATACATTCTTCTAAATCCATACGTTCTAAAGTCTGGCAATTCTGTAACACAATGTTTAATAAATCATATAAAATTATTTTTATTCAACGAGTTCAATAAATTCACTAATGAACTTACACGAATTTAATCATATAAAATTATTATCATCATTATTATTATATTGTGTAACCCTTCAAATACAGCAAGCATTCCTCCAACATAGATGTGCACAGATGTTTTTTCAATTTTACAAACAGAAGAGTGGTGGCCCAAATGGCTAAAATGTCCTGGAGTCCTGGGTTTGAGCCCTTCAGTAGATATTTATATCCTGTTTCTTAATTTCACATCAGTACTAAGCAGACTCGAGAATGATTCAAAGTAGCCGTCAGATTTCATCACAAAAAAGCAAATATAAAAAATGTTTTAAACTAAACTAAATTTATTTTGCTCGCAACATTGTCTTTGATATAGGCCACAATAAGAAAGGCCTTTGCCAACAGTAATCTTAATAACCAGTTGTTTTTTTACTTAAGAAAATCTGGTTAAAAATCTATAAAAGATACCAAAAATTATTCACCATATTTTAAACATAAAATTAATCAATATAATCATAACTGGTTTGGCTGATAAAGAAGCATGTTACCTAACTTTTCAATTTTAATTTCATCCATTTCAATTTCTATATGCCTGATGAGAAATATTTGATGTTAATGATAAGTTGCCATGCAATTCTCTAATTTCTTTCACATCAACTACGCTTATTACATAAGCAATTAATAACATCAATTTTTTTAATATGGATCGAGGGAGACTAATCCTATATGACTGATGATAAAAATGAATTACCTACCTTTGCTAAGGCTTGGAATCCATTGTCTGTGAAATGTGAACAGCAGGCAACTTCCAGAGTGCTGAAATTACAATACCTCAATAAAGAATAAATTACATGGAACTATAGAAAATATATATCATTATAGTTTTCAATAATTAATAATTTTAATACAAGACTTTGTAAACAGAGTTACTCAGTTACCAATGTTTCCTACCTAGGGGAAGTTTTACATGAAGCACACAAAAGTATTATTTCATTGGATATAGGTATGAATCTAGACTTTCAGTACCAATCTCGATAAATCCAAGACCTGCATGTGCAAAATAACTCCAATTTATGTGTCACAAGAAAAACATTTGAGTGACTTCCTAATATGATGTAAAATAATGAGGAAATATCTATGGTGATTGCTCATATATAATGTTGTAAAAGAAGTTGCATACAAAAACTTAAACCAAGTGTTATGTAGATGCCGACGCCTTTGCTAACAAACAGTTTTGTAGGATAGCCCCACTATTCTTCAAATAATAAAGAAAAAAAACCTCAAAAGGTTTTCATTCTGTTGAAGACAATATCGGCCTGAGCACATTATTCTGGGAAAATTTGGTTGAAATCCCTTGAAAATAAAAGAATTTGTTTATGCCTAATCTAGTGCTGGCCCACCTGCCAGTTGACATTTTCCAGTCCAAAAATCAAAATTTCCAGTTGGAAAACTAGTTCCTTGTTAACAATGTTCATACAGCTTTTTTTGTTTTTATTTGATAGTTAACAGACCTCTGCTATGATTTTGTAATTAAATGACAAACCTTAAGGCAGGACATCCATTGGCGACCGATACCAGTGCATTGTCGGACAGGCGTTGACAATTTGATACACATAAGAATATAAGATCACGACAATGTTCCCCTATCAATTGTAATGCATCATCTGTTATACTCTGAAAAAATAAAAACAAATTGTTCATAATCATTTTATCTTTATAGCTAATTGTTTCAAAGTTTAGGGTTTTAAGTCATTATCAACACTGTTAAAGGGTATAAAGCTATATCTTATGAAATATTTTTTTGTAAAATTTAAAAACGTTAAATTTATGTTCCTTCAGTAATCTTATTGTCATTTCTTGAAGGAGTAGTAATACAAAATATTTCTGTTATTTAATAACATACATGAAAACTTATTATTTAATAGCACCAATGAAAACTGAGTGTAAACAGAATAAAAAGTTTTGGAACAAAATACCACTAGAAAATTTATCAACATTTAAACAGGAAATTTTTTTTCTTTACTATAAACTTGAACAATTTTCTAGTTTTGAAGAAAACTGTGTCATTTTGAAAATTCTTCAATTCTGAGCACAGACAACTGACGCTACCAATCACTCAAAGAACATTTTTTTTTTCGGAAAGACAAATAGAAAATGTCATTTTTAGGCTACTTTCCAGACACATACAAGTGTTGAGAAACAAACGAAAACCTTCACAGTATTGTCTTCTCTTCACCATATTTGTAATTTTGTAAATACAATTTTTTTTTGTAGCATAATTTCAATGTATCTGTCTGACTATATGGCTAATGTAAAATTTCTGATATCTTATGAAAACTTCAACAAAACTATACCAGTAAATGCACAAGATTACAAATTAGTCCAACAAAATATTTTTTTAGTTTAGTTCCGGTTAAAGTTGTATGTGTCTGATCATTTTTTGTTTGTTTTTTTTTGTATGACTAAAACAACAATTTCATGTGTCTGACAGATTTAGTATAATTAAAATACAATGTATATTGTAAAAATTTATTTGCAACGTAATTTTATTGTGTTCTATCTGATAAAACATCATAAATAATGATTTCTAAAACCAAACATAAATATTTTTATCACAAAATTAATGACTACAGGATATGGAGTGATGATGAACTATAAAATGTTTTCCGAGTGGCGTCGTATTGTATTCACTTTCACAAAAAGTTATAAAAGCATATATCTATGAAGTATATCTTTTTCGTTATTAACAGATAAAGTATTTATTACAGACTATGAATCAGTCATGCGAAGAAAATATTTTCTGTAAGTAAGTGTTCTGTATTCACTATGACAACAAAGTGATATGGAAACTATTACATTAATCTCCTGAGGCCGACGTTTAGCTTTTATGAATTTTCCAGAAATGTTGATGGTAATATTTACAATAATATACCTCACTTGGGAACGCAAAGATGGGTATATTCAAATTAAAAAGAAATCTAAAAGCTGGCAAGTCTTTCTATATATTTTACTTTAACACTGTCTACATTGTCTTTATAGTGAAATGAGAATAGTGAAATCTATTTTTTAGAGTTTAAGGATAAATGTTTAATAAAAATTTATGCTATTTGTTAATGTTAATGTTGATTCAGATTATATTGAATTTATCTAGAAATGACACTTGGATTATTTCTTGTGTCTAATGGACATTTAACTATAATCTTTGTCTGTAAATGAGTAAAACTTGAATTGATCCAAATAAATCTTTAGACAGAGGTTGAAGAGGCAAGCAAAATTCATTAAAAATAAATTTGAAAGCAAAGGTTCAAGCGGAAAGCCAACATAGCTTCAAAAGAGTTTGTAGGCAAATGTCCATCATCATACTGTTCAAAATTTTAAGGCAAATGTCCGTACTTGTGTACTTAAGTCAAATATTTGTAGGCAATGGTCAATCGGGAAAGTCAAAGTTGTTCTAAATAGATATGCAGGATAAAGTTTAATGGAAAAAGCTGTAAATGTTTCAAATCAATTATTTTATGATTTCTCTTCAGACTCGTATCTCAAATACATCTCTACAAAGTATTTCCGTGCATACATGTATTTAAGGAGAATAAAAAAACTATGAGTATTAGGTTACAAATGATTCATCATTAACTAGATGCAGTCAATTTCAAATTCTTGCAACAAATTGATCAATTAGATTTTCCCAGCCGCAATGAGGATGTTAAAAAAGATAGAACTTTCCAGGAAGAAAATCCAATACAGTGTAGCGGGGATTATTCAAAATGTAAAAAAAAAAAGAAAGGGAAAATTGCGTAGGTCTGGACTACTTGTCTTGATAATATAGAAGATGAAATGTAGCGTTGATGAGTGCAAGAATCTTGTCTGTGTTACATGATTATTTCTTATCATTGACAAGAGGATGTAGTATTAATTTTATCAACTGTTAACTATTTCCCCCCCCCCCTGAATTTAGGCTAATGGACTCACCCTGCTATTGACCTAGGACCTGTTCATTACATTTTTAATGACTTTCAGGATTAAAGGAGTAAAATATTTCAAGGGCAGTGGTGGCCCTGTGTCTTGCATTTTAGGGACTTTCGAGATTAAAGGAGAAAAATATTTGGGGGATTGGTGGCCTTAAGTTTATTTAACATACCATTTAAGTTTGTTGTTTGTTTACTATTTACTAGTACACAAAATTAACATGTTATTGCATTTTGGAATCCCTTGTCCAAAATCCACTTACCTGACAAGAGTGCAAGTTTATTCGTCTTATGTTTTTACAATGTATTGCTATGTGGCCCACACCTACATCTGTTATCTGTAAAACATTTCAATGTTAAACAAAAAAGATTAAGATGTCTGAAATCTTCTTTTTTAAAACTATTACTCAATCTGATTAAAATCAGCTCCTAATTAACGCTACTCTATATAACCTGACAGGCACCAATAGGCACCTTCTCATGTCCTTTCAAACAGTCAATCATCAGCAAGCTTTCACAATTTTGAAAGCAATGCCGTTTCTAATTTCAACCAAATCCAATACTTCACGATTTCGAGAACAAACTTGGTGTTGTCCATAGACCGGGCAGGTCAACTGGCAAAAATGATAGACAAGTCCATTCAGGAAAAACAGCCTAGAGGTTAATTTTTAAGAGTACAAAGAAGTCATGATATGTTTAAAATGAATGATGAGCTCACTTTTAAACAATAAACAATGATTAGCTCAGTTTTAAACAATAAAATGGTATAATTTGTATTTCAGAGTTAACACTTTTATTACTCACTAGGTACGACTTTACTCACTAGGTATGACTCATTCTTAAAAAAAAAACCTGACTAATTTTTTATTACATAGCCATTAAAAAATATAAAAAATAACAAAGGGAAAATTAGCATGTTTTTTTTGTTCTTTTAATGCTGAAGGAGAATGATGTTATCTTAGAAATGCAACATTGTTTTTTTTGTATTGTAATAATCAATTGTTTGCATGTTGAAAATTTCTTGCTTCTCTGTCAGATATGAGTCATAATCACTCAAAACAAAAATCATATCTTTTGAATAATGGAAATTGTGTAAGAACCTGATTACATCCTTTACAGATAAAATCTTCGAGTTTGAGACAGCCTCGCGCCAGCGCTTCTAGACCATCGTTAGTCACGTCTTTACACCAGGATACATTGATATGTCGTAAATGATGACACCCATCACTATAATACGAATAATATTCATACAGATATATTCACAATAATATATGAGCCGTGTCAAGACAAAACCGACATAATGGGTTTGCGACCAGCATGGATCCAGACCAGCCTGCACATCCGCGCAGTCTGATCAGGATCCATGCTGTTCGCTTACCAATTCAATTACAAGTAGAGAAACTGATAGCGAACAGCATGGATCCAGATCAGACTGCGCGGATGCGCAGGCTGGTCTGGATCCATGCTGGTCGCAAATGCACTATGTTGGTTTTGTCGTGACACGGCTCATATGTATTTTATGTCTGAAGATATGTATACAACATTTGAAAGCACTAACAGAAATTAAGGTATAAAATATGAACGCTATTTATATTCTGCATTTCCCAGAAACTTATATTTTATATATTAGATCCACAAAAGGAATCAAACTTCTTTTTTTATATATTATATATTATTTGTATACATTATTATATAGATAAAAATATTTACCAAAGTATAATTCTATATATGGTATGTCAAACTGTTATAAAAGAATAATTTCTTTATTTATGGGTAACAGATTGTGACCCTCAGGACCATGTAAAAAACTAGTACTGGTGCCGACTGGTGCTGTTGTACGAGACATGGTCATAAATTTCAAACAAAACGGTCATGATGGCCCTGGATCGCTCACCTGAGATACATTTAAGTTTGGCAAAAGAAGACTATAATGTCTATGTTTGGTAATTTCTAAGAAGACTTTCAAAGATTTTATTTCTAAAGTCTAATTTTAGCTCCTGTGACCTACTGTTAAGGTTGATCAAAATTCATCTAGTGGTTAAAGATACTGTGGATAACAACTGATGACAAGAGACTGATCACGGACACACTGCCATCACAAAAGCTGACCTCTGAGCACTTTGTAGTCATGTTAGGAATATAATTTGTTGCACAGATATCTTTTCACAATACAGCATATAATAGTGCATCCCTGTATTTAAGCCTTTTTCATATTTCTCCACTTTTCAACACTTTTATATGCAAACCAAGAGTCATTATGACTTTTTAAAAATAAAGGCCAAGTTTAACATACTAAGTTTATTATACTTAGTTTATATAACGACTATTCTAACACTATCAGAATTTTTTCTATATAAACAAAGAAGGCCCGAAGAGTGCATTATTCTACAACAATGAACTCGCCGTTCTTATTATCTCCCTGTGTATTTTCACATTGAGGGCGCCATTTTGTTTGAAAAATCTGATAAATAAAAACAATTTTTTGTCGAATTTTGTTGTGAAAACTATCTAGAATGAAAGAAAATGGTCTAACTAAGAAAATGAATCTGAACACCAATATCTTTTATTCAGTCGTTAACGCTGTACAGACGTTTAAAGTATTGTTTACGTGATGTCACAATGTAGCGCCAAACAGCACGTGCAAAACAATCAAATCACGTACGCTATATTAATGTCCCAAACGAGTTAAGTTTTACATTTATTTCACTTTTAATAATTTTTATTTCACTTGAAAAATTATAGAGTGAAATAAAATTAACAAACAAAGTTTTATCAACGTTTTCAAAATGCGTTATTCTCAAAATGTTTCTACACACGGAAGATTTGACGACAGTTTTTTTCATACCACTGTAACAGCCTTTAAAGAACGTTTCTATTGGAAACTCTGAGGCGAAAACAAATTTAACCACCAAACATAAAGTCCAACATTATAATAATAATTATATTTTTTCTTGACGTGTTAGAATGGAAATAGATTTATTTGCGCATTATTGTATAATACTACGCATTTGAACTCAAACCGTGCATTATTCTACAACAATGCACTCAGAATTGATATCTATTTCCTAAATAACAAATGATGCTTACCTGATAAATTTTAGAGCTTTATCTGTAACACATAGACATGAGCTCAGATCTAGGTGCTGAAGCTTTTTACTATGTCTACCTAAACTTTCACATGTTCTGAAAAATAAATTAAATAGAAAAAAATAAATCTCGCTCATTTTCTGAAAATCAATAATAATTCCTTTTATCTACATAATTATGGTAGAATAGTGGTAAGTTTATAACAGCTGTCAACAGCGATAATGTTAGGTGCTAAAACTTATTGTTGCCAAGAAATAAAATTCCCAACTGCCATTATGACAGAATTGCTATACACTTGGAAACTGCAAGTAATTGCAACTTATTTTTGCAAAAACTAAAATAAAAGTCAATAAATATTGCTTGTTTATATTGTTAAAATTGCAATGTGACACCACTACAAAATTGCCACTTATTTTGTGAAATAAGCACACTCTCTGTGTGTAAACAAGATGTTCTGTTCAAATAAAAGCTCTAGAACATTTATTTCCGGACTAATTACATAAAAAACATTTGTCTATAAATCATGTCTGACACCAAGAACTTTATCAAAACATTCAATAAACTATAAATCATTGCTGCTACTTTTTTTCCCTCTCAACTGAATTTATCTAAGAACATGATCATGTAGGAAAACTTGCAAGCTTCTATAGAATCGGTCAGGCATGAAATATGACAACCTGATAACAGCTTTAGTGTTCTTGGGCAACAAAAAATAGTTCTGTTTCACGTCTCCCTATTTACCCTGTTATTCAAACTGCCAACCAGATAACAGCTTAAGTGTTCTTGGGCTACAAAAAAATAGTTCTGTTTCAGGTCTCCATATTTACCCTGTTATTCAAACTGCCAACCTGATAACAGCTTAAGTGTTCTTGGGCCACAAAAAATAGTTCTGTTTCAGGTTTCCATATTTACCCTGTTATCTAAACTGCCAACCGGTCCAAAAAAATAGTTCTGTTTCTTGTCTCCATACTTAATCTGTTATTCTTCTGCGAACCTGATAACAACTTTAGTGTTCTTAGGGGAAAAAAAAGTTCTGTTTCAGGTCCCCATATTTACCCTGTTATACAAACTGCCAACCCAAGACTTCTTTTTTATCAATATAATACATGTACGTAAAAAATCATTTTAAAAAGTTTTTTTTTTTTAATTCTTAATTTTTTAACTCTTTATTTTGGGGCTGTAGAAAACAAGCAGAACTATATTTTGGCCTTAAAACCAGCGAGATATTAAAGTGGTAATATTGCATGACAAAAGATATAGCTTTGTTTCAACCCTTATTTCTCCTCTTGAGTATTACATTCTAACATTAAGAACCCTAGTGAATATAATTATTAATATTTTTTAAGATTCTACCCGATAAACAGATTCATTAGGGTTTGTAATCCTTATGAAACAACATTTTAGTTGATTTTCACATGACCTCTCAATTGTTTGAACCAAATAAATGCTAGGTTAATGACAAGATCAAACTGTCAAAGATCAATAATAAGGGGTCAAGTAGACAATGTCTCATGTAGCAACACAAGGGTTAATGATACAGAAGAGTCAAACATGTTAGTTAAAACTATATCAATAGTATGAACTTTTCTTCATTGAATCTTGTTTGTGAAGGAAGTTGCAATCTTATTTAAATCACTCTCTCTCACTGCCCTTCAATATTAAGCATTATTGACAAAAAGTACATGATAATCTTTAATGTTCTAATGTTAATTTTGGAATATATGATTAAACATTATTATAAACATTAAACTTTTTCTATCAATGCACAGATCCAAAGGAGTGGGAGAGGGTTTAGGGGATCATGACCCCAATGCCTGGGATTTTACTAGTATGTCAAACCCCTTTGAGATTTGGTCATCAGCTATATTGTTTTAGCAAAAATATTGCAAAACATGGACTCATGACCTTCTCAGGAAAACTAGTAAAATGCCAAATCCCCTTCTAGAATATGCATCACCCATTGATTAAATGTTGGAACCCCGCTCTGTAAAAGTAAATCCTGGACCCATGCCTGCAATCACTTAAAGATGACTTGTATTATGATTCTAAGTATTACATGTATATCATTGTATCTTTTATATTATCACAAGGTAGATACAACATTCTTGCATAAAACTATATAAATATACTCACAGATCTGTAAGCTTTTTACAGTTATTCAGATTCAATTCCTCTATATTTTTGCATTGATCAGCAAATTTCCTAAAAATACACAAAAATCAAAATATGTAGAATATCATGATAATTTGTAAAATTCAAATTATTTATCCATGGTTATTAAAGACAGGTTTTATATTATGTCAGGCTAATTCTGAGCTGTTTGATTACTGAAATGAGGAAATTAAATAGTGACTTTGAAAGCAGATTTTGAAAGCAAGATTTGAAACAGCAAATTTGGTAAAGAAAACTTTTAAAACTATTTATAGAAAATTAAATCATTCTTCCTATATTTGTTGTTAATTTTTTTTCTCCACTTTTCTAGTATTTAATACATATCATCAAATACAGTCTTGCTATTAATATAAGATTAAGATAATATGAAAATCAAAGCAAGTATATTTTTTAATTGAAAAGACCATGAAAAAATTTTCTGTTTAGTATGAATTGATTTAATGCGGACATAAGCTCATGTTTGACAGTATCATGAAATCAATTAAGTCTCTTACCTTTTGAATGCTATTGGTAATAAAGATAATTTTACTAAGTAGTACATTGTTTCATTATTTCGTGGCTGAGTGGTTAAGGTCGTTGACTTCAAACCACTTGCCCCTCACCGCTGTGGGTTCGAATCCCGACAGGATTCTTTCATGTAAAGAAGCTATCCAGCTAGCTTATGGAACGTCGGTGGTTCTACTCAGGTACCTCTTCTGCCTGAAATAATGCACGGAAGGGCATCTGAGGTCTTCCATCACCAGTAAAGCTGGAACGTCGCGATATGACCTATACTGTGTCGATGTGCCGTAAAACCCAAAAATTAACAAAGAAACAAACAAACAAACAACAATCTTCACTTCAAAACGTTTTACAATAAATTCCCTATGTAACTGACAGAAGTCTTTGTAAGATGCTCTAATATACAGTAACAGCAACCTGTGTTAAAAAGCCCCTGTGAATAAAGACCTCCCTGTTATCAATGGCAACTGTTCTACAAAAATTCATGGATTCATTAGAATGGGTGACCCCAAAATAAAGACCACTTGTCTAGAAAGGCCATGTTAAGTCTCTCCTTTCAGTGACCTAAGTTCCAAGGTTTGACTGTACCCTTTAAGAATTATTAATGTTTTGTTCATACATAACACAGATGCTGAATTTCAAACCCATTATTTTCCTCTTTATAAAGAAAAATTCAGCATTCTATGTAAATTGCCTGTTTATTCTAACAAAACAAAATTACAACTGACTTCAAACTTCAGGCCATTCCCAAAAGTCTCATAATACTGTCAAACAAAAGACAGCCGCCATATTTTTTACTCTTTCAAATTTTGCATCTCATTCTATTTTTTATGAACACCTACTGTGGTCTCAAAATTTAAGAGTTAACATTATCATATTGATCTCTTTTTTAAATTTCATGTCAGAAAAATTATTTTATTTTAGATGTAACAATGCTGCAATTTTTTGTAATGGATTTGTCATACTTTGAATTTAGAATAATAGTAAAACCTGTAAACAAAGACCACCTAAAGGAGAGACCAAATATGGCCTTTCAGGACAAGTGGTCTCTATTTTCAGGTTACTCTTTTCCATCAAATCCATGAAATGTTGTCAAATATTAATTGATCTTTATTTAGAGGGAGGTCTTTATTTGCAGGTGATATAACACGGATTTGACTGTAAACAGAGTTAGCTTATAGCATTGCAATATTAAAATATTAAAACTGAGCCATCGTAATAATGCAACAAATATCAAGTACAGAATCTGTTAAGACATGACAGACATGCCGCTGGCTTCTCTGGCTCTATATAAAGAAGGCATAGACGAATTAGCGTTCAATTAGTCAATTTTTGCTTAGAGGTAGGAAAAATTGAAAATGGAATCAAATGTCTGTCTGCAGCTTCACATAAAGTCATATTTTTATTGCCATTACATTAAACATTCAAGTGTAAACTATAATTCGCCATTTATTGTCTTTAGGATTATCTGCCTTGTCTTTAGGATTATCTGCCCTTTTGAAATGGCATCCTTTTATGACAAAAAAATAAGTATATCTAGTATTTAGTTTGAAATTAATATCTTTAATAGTTTCTAGGAAAATGGACCCTAACAAAAAGATCAACGCCAACGCCAATGAGACCGGTCTTCATAATATGGCTCCACTTTTACTCTTCAAAAGTGGAGCTTATTAAAAACAGGTAAATCAACGCCAACAAGAGGGTCATGACAAATGCTCCATATTTTTTCTTCGAAAAGTGGTGCTTATAAAATACTTACTGTAAAGCATCATCTGTTATATTCTGACAGCCTTTCAGACTTAGAGCCTTGAGAAAACCACCACATCTCTTGGAGATGTTCTCTACCACAGGAGCCTGCAAATTAAAATATAACAATACAGTCGAACTTCGTTCGCTCGAACTCGGAGGGCCTGTGCAAATTTGTTCGAGAGATCGGTAGTTCGAGCTAACCGAGGTTGAACTATTATCACGCAGAACATAGGCATACACGTTTTCCAGCTTACATCTGTCGAATGATGAATACGGCAATATAAATGTTTTTTAGTATATCAGTTCGTCGAATACGTCATTTCTTTTAAATATAAGGTATAATTATCCCAGTGTTTTCAAATGAGTATTAACGGTACACTGTGTTAATCTATATTCATGCATATTGTAATTGGTTGAGTTCGATTGGGCAATCATTTACCTAAATTGTCCAAATATATTTAACTGTTTATTATGAGATAAATTTAATTTTAAGCAATGAATTAAAAAATATTTTAAAAAGTAAAACAAAATTTCACAGCAGCATGTATTTTTTGATATTTACTAAAAAGTATCATTCTATAGATAACTTTGTTACAATTCACGTTACATGCACCACGGCTGTAATTAAAGCCGTCCAGGTAAACATCATCTATTTATTGACTTATTTCACGAGTTATTTTTTTTATTGTTACTAAAGACGGCAAATAAACAATATAATCATAACAAGAGCTGTCCGTAAGACAGCGCGCTCGACTTTTTTATTGCTTGCCAATAAAAAAAGTTTTTGCAGTAAAAGGCAATACAAGAATCTCTGTATTTTTAAAGTGAACAATGGCCATGAGCATTAAGATATTTAGTGAAGAATTATTTTACTGAATTGTGTGATACCCTTGAACACTGCAGCAAAGTTTGAAATGTTTAAGTCAAAAGAGGGCTGGTAAGAAAGAAAAAAAAACTGAGTTGAGCCTTAAATAAATTTAATAGTATTAAACCCACTTTGAGAGAATAAGGTATTTTTACGTCACTCAGAACACCTTGGTAAATGACATAATAACATAATTTTACAAGAAATCTATGCCAAGGAAGCAGTATATATGATATATGAAATATGCATATACTACTGATTTTAATTTCAAGTACAAAAAAAGAAAAATAACTAGTTGTTTGATACCCTTGAATATTACAGCAATGTTTATATGACATAATTTATGGTAAAGTGAACAAGTGGATAGGAATGAATTTTTTTTAGATTTTTTAAGTTTTTTAGTGCTTGCCTATAATACAAAACATTGACAGTTAAGGGCCATAATTCAAATAAAATCTTTGACAGAATTACCTTCTCCTGGACATGTTTGGGAATCATGATTGTAAACAAGTATTCCAACTTTCAAATTAATATCTCAAACAGTTCAGTCAAAAAGTGGACTGGTACTAAAAACTTAACCAAGATTCTAAGTCGATAAAAGGCCTTAATTTTTAAAACAAATCCTTGACAGAGTTACCTTCTCTTGCGTACAGATGGGGGTAATGATGTGAAATAGCATTAAAAGTTTCAAAGCAATATCTCAAAGGGTTAAGGCAATAAGTGGATTTTACCCATATTCAATGTATTTTCTAAGTCAAAAAGGGGCATAATTCTGTCAAAAACCTTGACAGAGTTATGTCCTCTTGTCTGTTGATGAAGGTCGTGATGGTAAACAAGTATGGTCAGTTTCAAAGCAATACCTCCAATGGTTTTGAAATAAAGTGAGGTGGTACAAAAAACTTAACCAAGCTCAATACACTTTCTAAGTCAAAAAAGGGCCATAATTCTGTCAAAAACCTTGACAGAGTTATGTACTCTTGTCTGTAGATGGAGGTTATGATGGTGAACAAGTATGGTAAGTTTCAAAGCCATACTTGTAATACTTCTGAAATAAAGTGGGGTGGTACGAAAAACTTAACCAAGGTGTGACGCCAACGCCGACGCCGACGCCGACGCCGGGGCGAGTAGGATAGCTCCCCTTTTCATAGAAAAGTCGAGCTAAAAAACAAATCGGTAACAACACCTATTACTTTGTATCAATTAACCTTAAATTGCCTTTATTACGATCACAAGGTGTTAAAAACATGCGACGCTGGCTGACACTTTAGACATGTCGACCCGTAGCTTTTGTTGTCTCTTTGTGTTCGACCGAAAAGGTGTGACTTTCACTATATTTCTGTCGAAGGGACCAGAGATCAGGTTCGAGAGTTCGAGCGATCGGTGTTCGAGCGATCCGAGGTAGAACAATATATATTATATAGGAATTTCGCCGGGACCAGGCGATGAGTTCGAGCGAAGGGAGGTATTCGAGCGATCCGAGTTCGAGCGAACGAAGTTTAACTGTATATAAATATAATCTTCACATCAGGCTATCCTTTCAAGTTTATTTTTACTAGGACATAAATCATCTCTGGGACGCCTCCATGACCGTGCATTATAACAGGGATAAGCATGTGAATATAGACATGGTGCCAACAGAGTACTTTTAAAGTTTACTGATTTGTGTAGCAGAGTTTCAACCATTACTCCTTAAAAACTATGCAATATTAACTTATCCTTAACTTACATTAATTAACATTTCTAGGCACAAGCTAGTAAAACCAAAAAAAATGGAAGAGCAATTAAACAATGAAGCATCTGATTGGTAAATACAGATTTGAAATTGACCAATGGAATAATCCTATCTCTAGAACTGCCAGTGAAGAAATATGAAAAACCAAAACAAGACCAGTCTTCTAGCTGGTGCTAGGGGGCGTGGACATTAGTTAGCACTTGACAGTACCTTCCATGAACAGGCTCAATCAAACTGAGCCTGCAACATTTTCAATTTTGCCGTGTTGGGCTTTCTTTAGGGATTCTTATTTGTCTCTATTCCACTGCATAACCTGATTAGTTAACACAGATTTAAAATTGACAAATGGAATATAACTCTAGACTAATCTAGTCACCAAAAGCCAAAAATAACCCCAAAAAAACCAAGATGAAAATCATTGACCTCTGTCCCAGCACTACAGAACTTGACTGGTTCTCAAACTGAAAAATTGACAAATGATACACTTATATCAATAGACTGGTTGCCTATGTCTTCATTATCGCTTGGCAACCCTAGGGACAGCATTGTAACATTAAGAAAAGGTGACAATGCTAATAATTAAGGAAGAATGGTCAAAATAATGTCAAATTTACGTCTAATACGCTTTGGCTTTAAGGTAATTTGTGATCTAAATTGTCTTGGCAGAAACCTTTTGTTATACTCCTGATACTATAATTATTGTGTAATGAATACATTTTTCTGTGTTTAAGAGGTAAATAAAAGTTAATTGTAATCCTATGTCTGTCTGGAGCTTTATATAAAGTCCATGTTTTATTGTGTAACCTATCAAAACCTTTAAATCTTGTGCACAGACGTTTAACTTAAAGTACATTGTTGTTGATTTTCTATTAAGCCAAGATACCAATGAGAAAGAGATAGCAATAAAGTTAATTTTAAAAATAAGAATGGATTGAATCTCATTTGGATTTTATGATGCTGCAATAATGTGAACATTCATTTGTCCAAATATACCAAATTATTTCCATTCATGTTTGTTTGTTGGGGGTAGACATAAAGTGGATATGTCTACAATGGGCAGATTTGCCATAATTATTTCAAATATTGATAAAAACAAAATAGAAATGTATCATTTTTACTAGTAATTTTTATAGTTCTAAGAAGTTATGTAGAATGAACATTTATGTGATGAACTACTGTATGTGTTCTTCAACAAATTATGCTTTAATTCCCAGCATGCTTTAATATCAGAAAACACATGTAAAATTTTTTACTATTAATTGAATGAATTTCTAACGAACAATTTTGTATTGAATAAAACAAAATGTAAGGATTTCATTTATAAATGCAAGCCTGGGGGATTATCATCAAATATTTCCCGAGAATGATAACTGTGTGCTGGTATTTTGTCTTGTCGAGAAGTGGTTCAGTAATTGCCACCGCTCCAAGCTTTGTAAAACTTGATGAACGTTGTTTTATTCAATACTGCTCAAGATATTTTATAACAAGAATAAATCTGAAATTCTTCTCTTTTTATTTCATTTTAGGAAATCATTCAACACATTCTGTTTGAAGAAATATAAATGAAATAATAATTTCTCAACTTTGGTGTTATTGAATAAATGTTTAGACATTTCTATTTGCACATCCATTTTTTAGCACATTGGAAAAATGATTAAGACCAAAAAAAGTTTATTATATTTCAGAATCAACTTCAATCACTTTTGCAATAAATAAGATGAAAAGAAATTGGCTAGTTTCACTAAGATTTAAATTTTATCCTGTGTTAGAAATATTTGATTTTTTTTCTACAAGGAAATTCATAAAAACTAAAAAACAATATCTTTCTGAATTGCATATTAGTAATATAAATTTATACATGTATTAACTAAAAGGAAGGATACAAATTCAAAATGTGCAAGGAAGCATAAATTCTAACACCCCCACCCAGTCTTAATAAGTAAGTTAAAATGTTCATGCCTTAATCCTCAGTAAAACCGAAATAATTGCTAATCCGGAAATTTTATCCTGACCTGATGATGTCCAAATCTTACATACCTTGACATCAACCTGGAAATCAAAGAGGTCAACTCTCTGCCAGTTGCTACCATCTAGGGCAAGGAGGTTCCAGTACTGAAATAAAATAATAATATTCTTGATAACTGTTGCTTTTTTTAAATATTTCATTCTGTTATAAAAATATTATGTAGATAATATGATACAATGTAAACTCATGAAGAAGTTTACTGATATACTGGTGCCTCTAGCAATTAAAGACTTGCATACAACAGCTGCATCTAATTTGGTTGACTCTGAAGAGACCATACATTGGCCCCTGAGCTGCATTCCATAGAAAGTCTTAAGTGTATTTTATGTCCTAAGATATATGACCAATTCTAGGACTAACTTAAGACAATTTTAATAGCATTGTTTTTTATCTTGAGTCAAAGACTTTAGATTTTACATTAAATTTGTTTCCTGAGAAAAGTTCATACCCTCAAACCTGCAGAGTGTTATAATAATATGTTCATTAACCTTGGTATTCATGAACTGAAGGAGTCATTGAGGACATTTTCTTTGTAACAAAAACATGTTTCAGTAGACAAATTTCAGACTTTTAACATTGGTTAATTTCCGTCTTAAGACAGGTCCATAAACAAATTTAGGTATATAATGTCTACACAAAAGAACATAGTTACATGTTATTATATTGTTTAAAATCATTTCAACAAGTCTAAGATATACTAAGAGTAGTTTGGATAAAAATAGTATTTTTTTTTGTAAAACCATATAACTAGAAATCAAGGGGCTGTAAGTTAAACAATAACCCTTTACATCAGAATTTAAGAATATTTTGGGTTTTTCCCAGCTGATCTGGGGCTTCAAAGAAACTTTTTTTAATTACAGCTTTGAAGTAAATGCTAGTTTAACTTAATCTTTTGTGACCGGTAGTGTTCCATGAAGCTATAACAGTACATGGAAAATTAAAAACTCCATATTTGCCAAATTCCGAATAACATTCTATTGAACTAAAAAATTTTAATGCTTTCTTGAATCCTTGCCAATGATATGCTGAATATCTTCAACCAATGTGTCCATCTTTCAATCTGGACAAAACCGTTCATCATTTTTAGGATTTTTTGTTGGTAATAAATTGCCAACAGTGCAGATGATCTTGGTCTGCAATGCATCAGTAGACTTATAAAGGTAACAATGAGTCTCTTCAAACACAAGGTCTAGTGTACATTACATGCTGTATATCTTTCATGCTATAAAAACCTGTTTTTACTAGTTTTGTTACTATTTTTGAAACTAAAAATAAAAGTTGCATGATAAACCATCATCAAAACTCACAAAGTTTGGAAGAATTTTCCTATTCTGGGTTACTGGTGGAAATTATAGATAAAATATGCAAACAACATGTAGCAGCAGACTTCAGAGACGTAATATATCCCTTACGCATTTGCAAGAAATTGAAATTTTCTTACATTATACTTAATGCAAATTGAACTGGTTTATGGATATTACATAATATGATATGCATCACAATATCTGCATGATATCCTCAAACACTCTCCATCGTTTACATATTTCAAGATTCAGGATATCGGCACTTTTAAATTCATAATTGTGCACATGATGTGATTGATGTCTTACTATCACTAAGTCTAGAATTTTTAGCTAAGTAGACTATAATGACCAACTTTATCAACTGGTATAGAGCCATGTCATTGTGCACTACTGTAAAATCAGATACTTTCATGAGGCCAAAATTTTCGCAAAATCAACATTTTGGAATAATTGGCGAGATATCATGTATTCACAAATTTCTACTTTTGTTTTGTTAAAGTTAAGATACTCAGTGAACATAATTTCATGAAAATCTTCAATTTTCAAAATTCCTGAAATTCAATCCCTCACGAAAATTTTGTAATAAACAGTACACCGTAGTTTGACCATATAGTGTACCTATTGGCAGTAATTTTAGCATTTCGATATCACAACCCCACACATGAACAGTGGATTGTTCCAAATTCAAAGTAGGACAAGTCGGGTCTAAAAATTTTAAATGATATAAGGGTAAAAGACCTGGGCATAATTTTGAGCTTATATTATAATTTGATTACTGAGTCCTTAATTAATGTTAAAATTTGACAAGCACCTGGTACTCATTTAGAATTTTTTTTTTTTAAATCCATCAATTATATGACCGTAAATTCTTTTAAATTTATAACAGATCAGACAATTCTGAGCAATTTTCCAGGAAATTTAAACTGTGCTCTGAGTTCAATAATATGACCTAGGATCATCATCATTACAAGACAGACATTTTCATTCAATCCTTTTACAATATCCAGTAATCACTGCTAATATTCCTGTGGCCTCCGGGGCACAATCAACTTGCAGCATAACAGAATAAAATGTCTCATTGCTGGGAATGGTGACAATGTGACTTGTCTACAACATTTATACGAGACTGGCATTAGATCTGTAATTCTAGTAACCCAAGAATGACAAAACTGCACCATATGGTATATTATTTCGTTTTGATCCATTTTTTCCTCAGTATCTGGTATTTCCTTGTACAGAGACATTTCATTTTATTTATCTCTTTCAATACAAGGTCAGTTACAGAATTTTTTTATGAAAACAGACAAAGAAAGATTACAATGCATCATCTCAGCACACAGTTTGTACAGGGACATCCATGCTAGAGTGGTTAAAGGTCTTTGACTTCAAACCACTTGCCCCTCACTGCTGTAGGTTGAAATCCCGACATGAGCTTTGGATTCTTTAATGTGAGAAAGCTATCCAGAAAGCTTCAGTGGTTCTACTCAAGTGCCCGTTGTCATGCCTGAAATAATGCAATGAGGGGCAACTTAGGTCTTCTTCCACCAAAGCTGAAAAGTTGCCATAGGAACAATATTGTGTTGATGCGACTTAAAACCCCACCTCCTCTTCTCCCCCGTGAAAAAATCATAATGCTTTTAAATAATGCAAAGTTTAAAGAAAATTAATGCAAGTTTAATTTTCCTTGTTTGTGAATGTTAATAACTGCACTATATACCCAGAAATGTCTTTTATATACAAAAACTACAAATTTATTTTGTAATTTCTGATTTAATAACAACTATTAAACTGCAAGTCTCAGAGATAAGAAACAGTCGGGATAATCAATCCATGTTTTAATGGATGTCTCAAATGCTGTTTAAATACTGAGAAAAGTTTAATTTTGTGGTAAGTTAACACAAATTGCACATGACAGCTTCTATTCTAGAAAGTATTACTTAGGTATGGAGGTGAGTCATATCTCAATGTTTCATAGATGAAATAAAGCTATCTATTTTTTTCTTCAATGTATTAACAAAACAAATTTCCTTGCATTATATTTAGTGTTGACTTTTGCTTTCTTAAGTCATAGCAATACACATGTATTTACAGATGTTGCCTAATTTATATTATTCCTAGCCCGTTTATCAAGAAATTGCCTAACTTGGTAATATTATTCCTAACTTTGATTTGCCTAACTATATTCCACTTCAGGCATTCTCATTAATCACAGACTCCCTGTCATATCTGCAGAGATAAAGCAAATCAGTGAAGATGCTGATTATTTAAAAAATATGCCAGGAAACAAGACTACATCTTAACTATATCTAAAACATGACTTATTTCATTAATTTTTAAGACAATAAGAATGATTGTTTTACTGACAATAAGGGAGAATGTTTCACTGACAATAAGGGAGAATGTTTTATTGAAAATAAGGGGCATTGTAGGAATGTTTCACTGACAATAAGGGGAAATGTTTTTCTGACAATTAGGGAGAATGTTTTACTGACAATAAGGGAGAATGTTTTACTGACAATAAGGCAGAATGTTTTACTGACAATAAGCGAGAATGTTTAAATGACAATAAGGGAGCATGTTTTACTGACAATAAGGGAAAATGTTTAAATGACAATAAGGGAGAATGTTTAAATGACAATAAAGGATAATGTGTTACTGACAATAAGGGAGAATGTTTACTGACAATAAGGCAGAATGTTTTACTGACAGTAAGTGAGAATGTTTTACTGACAGTAAGGGAGTATGTTTTACTGACAATAAGGGAGAATGTTTTACTGACAATAAGGGAGTATGTTTTACTGACAATAAGGGAGAATGTTTACTGACAATAAGGCAGAATGTTTTACTGACAATAAGGGATAATGTTTCACTGACAATAAGCGAGAATGTTTTACTGACAATAAGGGAGAATGTTTTACTGACAGTAAGGGAGAATGTTTTACTGACAATAAGGGAGAATGTTTTACTGACAATAAGGCAGAATGTTTTACTGACAATAAGGCAGAATGTTTTACTGACAATAAGGGATAATGTTTTACTGACAATAAGGGAGTATGTTTTACTGACAATAAGGGAGAATGTTTTACTGACAGTAAGGGAGAATGTTTTACTGACAATAAGGCGGAATGTTTTACTGACAATAAGGGAGAATGTTTTACTGACAATAAGGGAGAATGTTTTACTGACAATAAGGGAGAATGTTTTACTGACAATAAGGGATAATGTTTTACTGACAATAAGGCGGAATGTTTTACTGACAATAAGGGAGAATGTTTTACTGACAATAAGGTGGAATGTTTCACTGACAATAAGCGAGAATGTTTTACTGACAATAAAGGGAAATGGTTCACTGACAATAAGGTAGAATGTGTTACTGACAATAAAGTGGAATGTTTCACTGACAATAAGCGAAAATGTTTTACTGACAATAAGGGAGAATGTTTTACTGACAATAAGGTGGAATGTTTCACTGACAATAAGCGAGAATGTTTTACTGACAATAAAGGGAAATGGTTCACTGACAATAAGGTAGAATGTGTTACTGACAATAAGGGAGAATGTTTTACTGACAATTAGGGAGAATGTTTTACTGACAATAAGGGAGAATGTTTTACTGACAATAAGGGAGAATGTTTCACTGACAATAAGGGAGAATGTTTAAATGACAATAAGGGAGCATGTTTTACTGACAATAAGGGAAAATGTTTAAATGACAATAAGGGAGAATGTTTAAATGACAATAAAGGATAATGTGTTACTGACAATAAGGGAGAATGTTTTAC